AAAAAATAATTTAAAAATATTATTTTTTTAAAAAAAATAAAAAATAAAAAAATTGACGGGTACGGGTACGGGTACGGGTATACCCGATACCCGACGGGGACGGGGATGGGGATGAAAATCCATACCCGACGGGTATGGGGACGGGGATGGGGATGAGTTTTACTTGCGGGGACGGGGACGGGTATCATGAAACCCGTACCCGCCCCGCCCCGTTGCCATCCCTGACTCACGTGGATGCCACGTATATGCATAGGTAGATGCCACGTGGATACCATTTTTTTTGAAAATACGGGCCGTTCTGGATGCACTATTGGTGCGTTAATTTTGCATCTGAAACGGGACGTCCCAGATGCAAAATTAACCCACCACCAGTATGTCAGAACGGGCCGTTTTGAAACCAGAACGTCCCGTTCTAAAACCAGAACGGTCCGTTCTGGATTCAGAACGGTCCGTTCAATTTGTTTAACATAAGGTCAATGCGTCTGTAGGGTTTATCGTCTGCTAGGAAAAATGTTTCATAATGATAATTATTGAAGTTCTTACATTTTCCTTTCTCAAGATAGTTTCGTTTTAGATAAGCAGTAGATAAATCTTTTCAGTGGAATATATCTATCAAGCATATTTGCATCTTCGTCTGAGACATGGTTTTAACGATATGTAAATATTGGACGAAGTCTTTCACAAAGATTTAATCAGTAGGGAAGATTTGTTCCTAGTTAAACAAGAAAAATAAAGCAATTATTTTTATACTGGTTCGCTCAACTGAGCTATCTCTAGTCTCCTTCAACTGAAGCGTTCCACTAGATATCAAAATGAAGAACATTTGAGTATTGTCGTCCACTCCTGGACTTGAGTATTCTCAACCACTCACGGCTCGCTAGCTTCACTCACCAGCGCTAGTATTCTTAAACCACTTCTAGTTCCCAAGTATTCTCAACCACTACTGGCCTGTTGGTTTCACTCACTAACGCTAGTATTCTTAAACCACTTCTGGTTCCCCAAGTATTCTCGAACACTCCTGGCCCGTCGGCTTCACTCACCAACGCTAGTATTCTTAAACCACTTCTGGTTCCCCAAGTATTCTCGACCACTCCTAGCTCATCGGCTTCACTCACCAATGCTAGTATTCTCTTATCAGCCACTTCTGGCTAGCAGTGAGTATTCTTTGACAAGCCCCTCCAGGCTTTATAATGTATTGGCTAGACAAGTTTGGTTTGAGTGTATAGTTTACTCTCACAAAGAGGATACATATGGAATCTACACTCTCTAATGTTTCACTACCTTAGTCCTATAGAGGCTTGTATTTGAGTGTTTGGATTACTCTCACGGAGAGGGTACATAGGTTTA